TAGTGAGTGATTCCTTTCAATTCAGTTACTGTAGATAATGTAGACCTGTATTATAAAGGCAACATTATTTGGTTACTTAGTCTTGATGCTTAGACTGGCTACTTGGAGCCAGTCATCTGATAGTTCAGAATGTAAATCCTGATACTTTATGTTCAAACATGTTTCAATGTTTCTTGAGTCCTGGAAACTATGAAGAGAGCAAACATCCAGCTCACAGTTAAACTGCATACATTTGTTTTCCAAAGGAGTGATACAGCAGTCTCCCAGATACAATAGTACAAGCTAAAATACTTTTTTTTTAGTTTTATTTTTCTTGATTTCACATGGATGGTTAATCTGGCTGTAGCTTGGCTTGAAGCCTGGGGTTTAAGTAGCACTGAAATACAGCACAAGCTAGCCACCATGCAAGAGCACCAAACTGCTTTCAAGTACCTCTTTTGCAATACCTGTAATGCTGGTGCAAAATCAGGACTGAACACCTACCAAGAAAGAGCAGCTCACTTAAGTGTGATTTTTATGAAGGGTGTTTTTTTGGGGGTTCTTTTGCTGTTTTGTTTTCTTTTCTTTTCTTTTTGTCTTTGTCTCCTGTTTGAAAACAGAAGTAATATAACTACTGGTAGGATAGCCTCTGTGCCACCTGCATCAGTATGATGTGTTCATAGCCTGAGAAGATCATAGTAGACAGTCAGAATGCCAAAATAAATACATATGCTATACAATTAAACTTGCATTACAGCTGTGCTTCCTTACGACCAGAGGAAGCTTGTACAAGATTCTGTGCTGAGCTTTCAAGTAATATCTCTGTCGACAAGCATACTTTCCTAGGCAATAAATTGAGAGCAGGGTCTGCAGTAATTGATAGGGATATATGACTGGTACAATCATACGTCCAGCATGCCTTCATGAGGGTTCAGATCCTCTGTGGGACTGGACGCAGTTTGCTATATGCTGTAAATGCTAAACACCTATTCATGAGCCCTTTGGGCCAGTGGTTGTTCCAGCAGAATTGCGTGGCAAGGTCTAGGGCATCTAAAAGCCACTTCAGCCTCAAATAATACCCCTGTATGCTTGGGAGACTTCTGCCAGATACACTGGGGGCTGTTCTAGCTTTAATTGTTAATTGGAGCTGCAAAATCAATGATAACCTTAGGAAATGGAATAAGCTGTTTTGTTTTCTTTACAGTTTCACAATGCAAACCAGCTGGCAGCTTGGTGTTTGCACTACATCTGCACCAATTACAACAGTGTTTGCTCCAAATTCCGCAAGGAAATCAAAGCTAAATCTTCAGGTATGGGCAACTTCCCTCCACAGCTTTCATAAGGTTTCCCTTTTTCTTCACACCTAGTTGATTAAACATGAAGACAAAGATGAGCGTGACTCAGCTCATCATCAGCATCATCTCATGATTCAGAGACTGAAACTCTGTGTTACCCTGAGTAGCATTCATGAATTCTTACCTGTAAAGAAAGGTCATAATCATTAACCTTATTCCTGGGCAAGCATTACATTTATGTGTCTATTATAGTGATGCTAAAAGGAACAGAGGTAGTTTCAGGCTCCACAATGAAAAATACACTCTGTGAATGGCTTGCTTTTCCATACTTTAGTGAACTACTCTTGTGTGTAACCACTTTCAAAGTCTCTTAACACTGTAAGTAAAGCATATAAAGAAACTGGGGGAATCCCCAAAAGGCAGCTAACGTAGAGACTAGATGAATTATTAGCTGCATAGCTTTTTGCAGGCACTCAAGACATTTCTGAGATTTGTGTATCTTATTAGCTTGTTTGACAGCTTTTTGATTGTTTCTTTTTAATCAGATAATCAAGAATATTTTGAGAGGCATCGGTGGCCGCCTGTGTGGTATTTAAAGGAAGAAGATCACTACCAGCGAGTTAAAAAAGAAAGAGAAAAGGAAGATGTTGCCCTGAACAAACACCATTCGAAGCGGAAGTGGTGCTTCTGGAATTCCTCTGCTGTACTTGCCTGAACAAAGCAAATAAGGGAAAATCCATAACCAATGTCAAAAATTAGTCTTATTGTTAGAAATAAGATATACTTCAGGTTGTCAGGAAACTTTGTTCCATATGTGCATTTATTATGCTAGGGTCAAAAGCACAAGCTCATTGAAAGTGAGCCTGGAACAGCTCCTTGAAGTCATATGTATATTTTTGGCTAGTAAGAAGATAAATGTCTACCATTATTACATTTCTTTTTATTAAAAAAAAGGGGGGGGGGAATTTCCAGCATTAATATTTCAGTCTCCGGTTGGGAAATATTTTTATACTGTCTGGTACATCTTGTTCAGATGAAATTCTGGATACTGTTTGATTTTACAGACCACAAAATAACCATGTAGCAGCTTTGTAATTAGATTTTAACTATTTTTACTATGCGAGTACAGTGTAGACAATCTTCAGTCATAAGAAACCACTTTTAGAATATCTCATAAAAGTCATCTTAGGAAAAAATCTAGTTGCCTAGTATATGTTGTCTTTTTAAACTAAGTACTGTGCACGGGTAATCTAATTAGATGGTTATTTCCCCTTTCTAAAGCAAAGGGTTGGAATAAGATCCAATAACTGCAAGATATAGAGTGCTTGATCTTTGCTCAGCTGAATAATAGACAGTATAATTACCTGTTCAACCGCAGGCAAATGTATTTCTGATATTTGCCATGTAAGTGCAAATAATTATGACTATGTGGGCCACATGAAATCTAGTGATTCTAAGTATTCAGAGGTTTTATATGTCTAGATCAAAGAGGATATTTCTAAAATCATTTAGAAGGGCTTGTTAATTTATATCCTCATACGAGTATGGATCTGAGTGCAAAAAGCAGTTACACTGCTTGCATCTGAATTACTGCATGGCAGTTACTTTGTTCTGTTAACCATGCAGCCATTCCTTATGCTGAATTCCTTTTTTGCTTCAGTGCAAGCAAATGAAAGGGCTGTGAAAACAAGTAGGAGTTATCTAGTGTTACAGCATTTTGTAAAGGAAGAAGGGCCTTCACACACAAGATCAGTTTGATCCAAAATCTTTTATAGCTTTTCCCAGGTAGAACTCAAACTGTTAGATTATTTTAATGAAGTAGATGATATATTTCCCCTGGAAGTAAGTATTCCCAGAAAGCTGAGGGCAAAATGATGGCAGAAAGGAGACATTCTGCACAAGCAGTGCAAGAAAAGAAAAAGCCTCCAGTGTTTTTAAATAGCCTGTGTGTTCATGACCTTTTATCAGACATTACTCTAAAGCTGCAGTGTTACACTAGATTATGTAAGGATGAGAGCATTTTTTAAAAGACCAAAACTGAAATACATAGACTGTAGAACATACACATGCAGTCCTGTACAGCGTCTCAGGCACAATTCTGTAACCACGGTAGTATTGTGTATTAGATTTGTTAATATTGTTTTGTGCTGGCAGCTCAGCATACCAATGTGAAAAGCTGTTTGTTTGTGGTTTTTTTCTGTATTCAAAGGCAAGGCAGTGCAGTCAAACCCCAGTACTGTAAGTCAGGAAAGGCTTTGGACTGAAAGCCATATACACCTCTACGTATTTGCATTCAGAATGGACTAATTCATGGTGGATGCTACCACAGGATGGTAGAAACTACCCAGCATGGAAGAGTTGCAACTCTACAATTTTTTATAAGAAAAGCAGGTGACAGATTCCTACACCTGTAAGATTCATCACCATACAGTGATAAAGAAGGGCTATAAATGATGGTTGCAAATATGTCTCCTTAATTCTTGATCAGCGATAACATACAGTGTGGAGAAGAATTAATGAGAGAAGATATGTCAAGACTAAGATGAGAAATATTTGTTGTCATAAAGTGTTAACCAATCATATTTTGAGTAAGTACTGCTACTAGGTTTTACACAACCAAAGCTACTGTATGATTGTAATCTTGCCAAACTGTAATGGATATATAAATGAACTTGAGGTATATGCAATAACATCCAGTTGTTCTAGTTATCAGCTACTATAACCAAGTGGCTGGTTCATTTGGTTAATGCTGTCTATGGCCTTTAATCTTGGTGTTTATTTTGTGGTTTTTATTTTGGAAAAAAAAAAAGTTAATAAAACCATTTAGTTACACATTGTCTCCCAGCTCTTTGAAGAAGCTTCCTGAATTTTGCATTAGGTGCTGTGCTTCTTAGTGCTGTTTGTAATCATCCAGTTGTGGTATCATTCCTTTAATCTTACTGAACTCATATTTGCATGGCAGATTAGGATTTATGGTTGGGAGTGTCATAAGGAGATCCTACAGCGTTGGTATGTGATGATGGAAGGTTGGTGTTTGTGACTTATTGTTCAACTATATAGCAGAAAAAAATCTCTTGCCACTTTTCCCCATGGTTTCTGATATTTAATTAGAATTACATTACCCAAGGACATGAAACTAATTAGTCATGACAGACACGGGGAAACAAAATGCAGGTAAACAACGGGAGGTCTGTATGGTTTTCAGTACACTCTAACCTTTGTACAAACATTCTTTTCCCTGCTTTCTCATTTCCTTAGTTGTCAGCCATTCTACAGAATCCCTCATTACCTGTTAGTAGACTCTTAGCAACTACCTCCATGCATATAGGCTGTTTAATTGATAGAGGTAGAAAGCTAATGCTTTGCATGACATCTTGCAAAAATCCTCTAGAAAAGAATGCCATGTTTGCTATTTTTTTCAGCTCTTAAGCAATGCCAAGGACATGGAAAGTAAGCACATTCAGCACACACTGTGCATGTTTAAGTGTAATTTATGAGAATGTTACGTATCTCTGTGATTTATTTCTGGAAGGAAAATCTTACTTCTTTGAACTTACTATTAGAAAAGTTAATAGACTGAATCGAAAAAGTGGTAACATTAGAAGCAAAAATGTTTCTCTTATTTATTATAAAACCAGTACCATGAAGGAAGGAGCAAATCAGAAGCGTTGCTCTTCAGGACATTATTTTTAAAATATTGTTACTCTTTAGGAGAAGCTGTGTCCTTTGTTCCTGGGGAGTCTCATTCAGCTTCTTAGAAGTAGTGTTTTTCTATTTCTCTTTAGGACAGAATTTCTGTGAGCAATTTCCTCTGCATCACAACACAAACCAGTTTCTGTGGCTTCCCACTCACAAATAGCACAACAAAGCCAGAAATACAAGTCTTTTATGATGAAGAGGGGATTGGCCAGACTTCAACCACAACTCACGTAATTTCATTTACAGAAGACCTACTCATCATTGTCTTTTAGTCAGAAGAGGCCTCAAAGCATGGGCAGGTACACTAGACAGTATGGCATATGTGGGTATGTTAAGAAGGGCTGCTGCCTGGTGGAAGGAACTAATCTAGACATCCTTTCTGAATGCTAAGAGCAGGATTGTACCAGAGAAAGGGAAAAGCAGCACAGGGCTTTATTGCCTTAATTCTTCAGCAATTTACCCACAGATCTCTCTCAGAATAATTTATGCCTAGAAGTGTTTGCTTTGTAAAATCAGGGTTGGTTTTTTTTTTTCCATGTTCCAGTAACAAGCACTGGGAGACCAGGTGAAGGCATCTTGGAAGTGCTTCTCTGAGGGCCAAGTCTTCCATCATCTGTACAGACAGGTTTAGGTAAAGGTCTAATGTACTAAATATGGTTAATTTTGGTACCTATACTCCAGGATAGTGAAATATTTCAGTCCTTCCAGACTCTTTAACAGTCTGGTGGAGAGGTTTGCTTCGTCAAATGAAGCTACAGTTTTGTCCCTATTCTGGCCCTTTTTTTCTAGATCACAGTCTCTATACTCTTGTCACTGGTAGGCTGACATTTATTTACTCTGGCTTGGAATCCAAGGTATGTGCTATGCAGTGAGGTGTCTTTAAGATGACTGCTTGCCACTCCTGAGTCCCCTTAGATTTTTGGTCTATTAAAATAACCTAACAGCATTTACATGAGTCTACTTCTCCCTCAGGCAAAATTCCCATTGAAATGGTTGAGATAACATACACGTGCTTTGAGGTGCCACCTAATGAATTTACACATTATCGCTTGTATTCCAAATCTGGTAACAGAAGTCTGCTTTCTGTACTGCATGCAGGTTAAGACTGTGTATTAGCAGCAGTAATCCCCATCCTGCAGGCTCTACAATAGGATAGTTCATTGTTAGTTAACTTATGTTTTTGCCTTTAGTTAAGAGATTGTAACACTTGTCATGTTCACTTTGCACTAGCAGCCAGAGTAGTGAGAGTATTGTAATTTATACATGCAAACTAAATCCCTCAGTGATGCTTACATAAAAATCTTTATTTCTGGTAGAAATATGAAAACCTTTTGAATCGAGGCTGCAGGAGGTTAAGAAGAATATTTGAACATCAGAAGAGACAAAAATTATTATGCTAACATATTCCAGCACAAGAGAAAAACCAAACCAGGAAGATAATGATGTGATTCAGACAGAGAAGCTAGCATGGGACAACAGGATTGTGATGGCTCCTTTATGATTGTTCAGCTTTAATTTGTAACAAGGCCATATAGCTACAACATCCCACTGGGCTGTTCTGCAGCAGCAATTGTTCCCAGATGCAGAACAACTATTGCCTGCATTCCACTCCCACCGCATGGCGAGGGGTGGAACGTGTTACAGTGAAAACATTATTTGCTGATGTACCTCAAGTCCTTTCCTGTGAGGCACTGGTACCCCACAATCTGTCCTTTGGTCTGCAGAGGAGCCCAGTATCACCTCCTGGATTGGTACATCTGGTTTTGTCTCATGTTGAAGTATATTCCAGAACAACAAGGACCTTACCCCAATGTAAGAAGGATCTCCAGCCAGTCTCCTTCACTGGGACAGCAGACAATGGAAGAATAAAGGTCTGTGGCTGCCAGATATCAGCCTGTCTAGGGATTTCAAGATTAAAAAATTAAAGTTAATAACTTTCAAAAAACACTCAGCCAGAGACCAAGTCAGAATACACAGCGAAAAGCAGCATGACAGCCTGGTCAGCACTGTTTCAGGTACCATTATAAAGATGTTAAACTGGGGAGGGGCAGATTCCCTGTGGAAAGCTCTGGCTTTCAGCTTTAAAGAAAAGCAGGGTTCACCATTAGATACAATTAGCAAGCTGGGTACCATGCCTCTGTATTGCACAGGTCTGAACAGCCGCACTGGAGGACTGTCTGTTTTCCTCACCACACTCTGGCTGCTCTGACGTTTCAGATAAGCAGCCAGGTGATGACAGCTCACAGGGAAGATTTTTCTTAAGACATTTTCTTGCCTTTAACATTTTTTTAAAAAGGTTTCTTTATTCCCATGGGGATTAATACTTTTATTCTATTATGGCTGTATAATAAGGATTACATGGCATCCCTGGTATTAGTGCTGAGTAGTCAAGTTATCCTCATAGGTTAAAAGCAAAACATACAATTAGCAGCAGATTAAAAGTATATGATTAAATACGCATTTTAGTCATTAAATATAAGCTGTTCATTCTGACTGGATGATCAGATGTGATTACCCGCACCTCCTGGCTATTATAAATATTAGTTGTGCACTACATATTAAAAAGAAATTTCTTTAGATTTCTCTCCTGGGTCCTTAATTAGACTTAGAGCCTGCTTGCAAATTTGTGTGGATCTCTATGCCGATCATATCACATCACATTTTGAATCGTAGCGTTTCTGGGGTTAGTTTTAAAATATTTAACAGATCTCAGCCTGTAATCAAACTCTGTTAGATGGTGATGCCTTTTCCCACAAGCAAGGTAGGGAAAGAGGGTTTCTAAGGAGCCCCTGGGGACTCTCCGGGGCCAGGGAAGCTCTGTGAATCCTCCCATTGGCTTGCAGGGGATGTGATCAAGTGTCACTAGTCCTGCGGTATGTAAGATATCCAACAGCACTCTGTAAAGGAACCTCAACCAAGTATTCACACACTTATTGCTCAAGATTCACCTCTGCTTTCTAGCTCTCCAGAGGGTATGTGGAGCTTTTCCTGCCTCCCTCAGGCTGGTCTGCTGAGGCAGGTTCTCCCAGCTTTGTCCCCCTTCATTTTAGCTGGCCAAGAGCTGTAAAATTTGAATATGCAGAACTAATTCCTGGCCTGCAGCATTTCTGTGGTAGGTGCTGTGGCCAGTGAAGGACTGCAGTTCCCACAGCTGCACAGCCTTTCCTTTTTCAGGTTTCCAAGGCTAGAAAAGGTAATGAGTTGTAGAGACTGATGTCTGCACTTAATTGGTTTTATCATCTGCTCAGGGGGGTCTGTTTGTTTGTTTGCTGTAATCACAACAAGGTTTGTTTTGTAGAAGCTAATTTGTTAAGAAGGTAGGAGGAGTAAGAAAATTGGGTGATTATCTAAAGGTAATTGGGTAATTAGTCTAAAGACTCGTTTTCCTGTCTTCTGAGGCCTCTCCAGTATGTCTGAAGGTGAGGAGGGACAGAAGGTCAGTGCAGGGGTGGCTGGGCAGAATTTTCTTCAGAGTTCATAGAACTGGTTGTTCCTCCATAGCTGAGCAGATCGGCAAGAAGGCTGATGCCTCAGAGTTTGTTGGAAACCAGAAAATGATTCACCTTCAATCTTTTCTGTTACCCATTGGCTAGACACTACAATAGGTGGTGTTGGTCTGAGCTGGCTGCGGGGCTGTACAAATGGATCTGCGCCCTGCACAATGTAGTGAGTGCTACATGGAGCACGGGTGCCGTGCACCTGTAAAAGGCAGGCACTTGATGCATAACCTACAACTGCAAGGGCAGCATCTGAGAATTTTGCTATTCTCTTCTAGCTCCATGGCTTTTATTTTGACATTGCTCACCATCCCAGTGCGTTAACACAGGGTGAGACTTGGGCCAGGAGGTAACTTCTTAGAAGTATGTTCTCCCATCAGGCTTCAAAATTTTGTTTTCTTGAATCTGGGTACACAGATACCAAACAGAAATCAAGCAGTTCTGCCCATTGCACCCCTGTTCCTTCTAAGCTGTGTTTCAGCCCTTGTCAGCCTGGCTGCCCATGCAGAGCAGTCAAGTTGCAGAGCTTGCCCCATGACACTGAGTATATGAATAGCCTGCACAAATTCCCAGGTAGTCCGGAAAAGTCCATGATAAGAAGTTAACTGGGAGTTAACAAATACATAGAAAAATATGCCTCACTGAGTAATTTCCAAAGGCAAACAAATAGCTAGCAGTTTTCAGAAGAGGTATCTCTAACTGGCCATGCTGTTCTTTGTTTCTCTGGGCACCAGATTTTGGCCACTGTCAGAGGCAGTATAAGGGACAGATGAATTCTTGGTCTGACCCAGCAATGCTGATCTCTACACTCTACTTAGTATGAGGGTTGAATGGCATCAAATGAAACTAGCACATGGCAGGTTCACTACTAAGACCACTTCTCCACATCAGTGTTAGTTGAACAGCAAAATTTTGTGCTAGACAACTGTCCTGGTTTAACCCACAGCCAGACAGCTTGTTACCCACTCCCCCCCTTCTTGCCCTCCCCCTACTCCTGGGGGAATGGAGAAGAGAATCAAAAAGAAATGCAACTCCCACAGGTTGAGATAAGAACAGTTTAGTAACTAAGGTATAACATAAATCACTAATGCTAACACCAATAATAGTGATGATAAAGGAAATAACAAGGGAAGAGAATACAACACCTCATCACCAGCCGACCGATAACTCGCCCCCCCCCAGCCTGACCAAGCACCGACCGATACCTCCTCCAACCCTGCAGTCCACTCTCCTTTCGGGTAACTCCCAGTTACATCCTGGGCATGACGTGCTGTGGTATGGAATACCTCTTTGGTCAGTTTGGGTCAGGTGTCCTGTCTCTGCTTCCTCCCGGCTCCCCTCCTCCCTGGCAGAGCATGAGGCCCACAAAGTCCTTGGCCAAACCAAAACGTCATTGTTTTTCAGCTCTGTTCCCAGCTGAAAGTCAAAACACAGCACTGCACCAGCTACCAAGAAAGAGAAAAATGACTGCCACTGCTAAACCCAGGACAACAACACTGGAAGCTCACACAGCTCCCAGAATAAATCTCTGGGGAGAAAAGCTGTCAAAAACAGATCATCACCTCTGTTTTGGGGACTTAAGTCCAAAGCATTGAAAGTTGGCAGTATACTACCAAGTACAATTTCATGCTTACCTTTGCTTTATCTTTCCCAAATTGTCTGCTGCTGGCTATTGTCAGAGGCACGATTTGGGGCTGAGGAGATCTTTGGTGATCTGCCCATGGCTGTTCCTGTGACCCTTGGTAAGGACACTCCTACTTCACTGCAGAAATACCCAAGTCTGCTCTTCCCCTCTGTGCTGCAGGCAGTCCCTTGTTGGTCTCCTGTCTGGTGTCAGTTAGAGAGCTCATCACTTGCCTGTTGACAAGTATAAGCTCAACCCATGAAAGAAGAAAGCAGGGGGATTCATCCTTCCTCTATTCCTGGAAGACTAATGTTCCTGCAATGTTCTGAGCAGCAAGTGAGCCTTTTAGAAGAGGTCAGATGCATGAAGCGGTTGTGTCTACAGACAAAAAGACTGCAAAACAGGTACCTCTTTGAGCACAGGAGTCAAACCCAGGCATCTACTCCTGTGAGTGAGATATAATCCTGACCAATACACTTAAAAATGAAATCAGGCCTCATGGTCTACAGCAAATGCTGGTGGTTGTTCTGGATGATGCTAAATCACACGAAGATACACAGTATTAATACAGTGTCCCAGGCATTTTAAAGCATCTTGGTTCATTTCACCTAACCAAGCATCTAAGTAACATGTTAGATTCAGCTCTTTGTGTTGTGATCCCCAGAGTCACCTTCACTTACCTGCTCTTTAGTAGGCCATTTTGCCTGTTGGGAATGAATCAATTTCCAGTTCTGGAGCTGCACAGTACTATGTTTAAAAAAACCAAACAGAATTATGTGAACAGTGGTAGTAGAGAAATATGAAGATATGTCTTACCTTAAGCATAGCCATCAGCCTGCTGCTGAATGTAGAGTGCCAAGGTAAATATTGTGTCCAGCCACCACTTCTGCCTACCCTCTTTGTCTTGCTTCTTACTCATTTTGCTCATTTTCACCCACAAGGCTGACAGAGCACCGTCACTTACTGTGATACACATTTCTTCTATTGCTCTGGGAATAATCTTTCATTACTATAAGCTTTTTCAATTTTCTTAAGGCCTTTTACCACTTTGTCAGTGTAGCATAATTTATTTTCTTGAGTGGTTTACACATTAAAGTGTGTGAAGTTGTATTTATATGTCTCTGATGAGTTCTTTGCTAGCTAGTGGAACAGTGTTGTGGAGGGTTTTTTTCTTGGAGCTTTCTGTTTTCACAGTGCAATTTTTCACCTAAAAATGAGACTTCAAAACTGCTGACTTTTGCCACCTCAAGCCACTTTAATCACCAGTTCAATTCTCAGCACCAGATAGACAGTGTAGAGCCTGGCATCCTCCCTGTAGCGGCAGCTTCTCACTTTAGTCCAGGGCAGCTGAGGACCCTTCAAACATCAAGCTGCAACTGTCCCTCTCAGATTGCTGTCCTTCAGTTTTCCGGCTTCATGCCGTTAGTTTAAGTTACATGTTTTATCCATATATTTCATATATATAGTTTAAAAATTTCAGGCTCTGCCTGCTGTTACCTTTAAAATTGAAATGTTTATTTCCTTCCCATACATCCTTCTCCCTCTTGTAGCTTAAACTTTTCTTAAGCTATATAGCAAAGTGTGGGCATTAAGTGTGATTAAAGATAACTGTGGTTGTACTCACACCAGAGCACAGGGAAAACTTAACTAAGTTTTGTACAAGTGCTTTTAGGGATGAAGAGCTCATGCAGCACTTCAGGTAGGACAGAAGAAGGCACAGTCAGAGCCATCATAGAAAGATTTGGGCTGGAAGGAACCTTAAAGATCATCTAGTTCCAATCCCCCTGCATGGGCAGAGACACCTTCCACTGTATCAAGTTGCTCAAAGCCCCATCCAGTTCTTACCATTTCTTTTGAATGAAAGAAGGGGTAACACATTTTTCCTAGATATGCTGACACTAGACTGCAGTCACAGCACACTGCTTGTTCTATCAAATATGCTTTTAGGGAAACACCCAGGTTCATCTAAGAACTATGTTTATGTGAGGCTTAAGGACAGGGTTTTTTTACTAGATATCCAGACCTTAGGCAGAACACTTATATTGGTCAATAGAGTAAACATTGAGTCTATTGGTACTAAGCTGGTTTATAAAAAACACAGCTTTTCCTAAAAATTGGTCCAGAGTATTTGAAGTGCAGAGAGAACAACATCTTTTGTTCTTGCCCTGCATCCATAGCATCCTGTTTTTCAGACTAGGCCCATGGAAATACTGTAAGTACTTCACGGTTTTTTTGAACTGGGGAGAGGAAAAAAAATACAGAGAAGAGGCTGAAGAGTAGGTAGGCAGGCAATGTCAGAAGAAAGCAAGTCTTGTTATTAGATGCACAATCATCATTATGAGTGGATTCACCTGCATTCACCTTAGCTAAGACTGGTGTTTGCAAGCCTCATGCATGCACTCAGCTCCCAGTCCTTCCTCTTGTACCATCACCCTCTGACTCAGAGCTGCTGGAACGCTCTGGAGCAGCTCATTATGCAGTACCACAGGTGAACCCTTAGGACAACCTTCATAGCGTTCCCTGTGGTAATGTGCCAGCTGCACAGATGGCTTCTTTCTGGCTCTGCTTTTCGCTGAGTTGTACATATTGGAGCCTGCCTCGAATCAAACCTGCCCTTGCATAGCTAGCTAAAATATAGCTGTGTGACCAGTTGTGAAAGAGCATCACATTTCCTCATAATATGAGTCTCGCTTCCCCCCGTTTT